TACTGTACGCTCCGTAGATGTTGGCTGTTTCGGGGTAGCTTCCGAGGTTTTTGATTACGACCTCGTTAACCAAACAACCTTTGATGACAGCGGCAGTAGAAATGGGGAACATGAGGATAGGGCACCCGAAGGGCCTCCAACAGCTTTGCGTTTGGCCACTTTTTAACTCACTTCCACTTTCCATTGCATACGGCAGTATTCCGCTTTCCCCCTGACTAACAGGCGAATCAAACACGTTACCTGAGGGTTCGTTGTCAAAAGTGCGTTTCTAAATCGTGCATTAACAGCAAACTGTGAGCAAACAAAAGCTGGGCATGGCAAATTGCAAGTATTTTCAACTGCCTTCCGACGGAAACTTGATCACGCAAGATACATAACAATGCGATGAAAGTTTCTGTCTAGCGAACACACTAGAGGCACTGGGCTTCCAAGAAAAGCCGGACTGCTAGATATTGGGGCGTGACGCTCAGTCCTACGCACCCAGCAGTCAACGCAACTGCGCGGTATGCTATAACTGCTATGTTTAAGTGCATAGTGCATCGGATACAAGCCAGTACAGTCCAAATGGAACCAACGGCAACACATACCGCATTGCATGACCCTGGACGAGTCCCTAACCGCTTTAAGACACTCCGCTTCGCAATAAATAACCTGAGTCGTCGGAAGGCGGACAGGAAATATCTGGTCAGAACTCGACTGCCCCCCGTTACAAAGGCGTCCGAATCTCAAATAAATGCATGAAATAAGCAACAGTTGTGAACCAGTTTACGGTGACCAGCTACGCAATTGACAAGAGGACTTGTCGGGGAAGCCTAGTATAAATAAATAAAATAAATAAATATAGGTATATTTCTAGACAAGCGCTAGATGCTGTTCCTGCGTGGGATCACCTCAAATTGTACATAACATCCATGCTCATGCATGGAGAAGAAATATCGTTAACAACTGCTCTTGATCGTGTTTATCTTTCCGAATAGTAAAGCAGGGATAAATACAAACGTTTCGTAGGCCTCGACATTTTTGAAGGCAGTAGTTTGGATCTCCGGAGCTTATGTACGAATTCTGCGCTTTTCACCGGCTACCGCTGCCAAACCTTGAGGTGCCTGATTCCATTAGTAAACGATCAAATAGAGGAAAATTGATCCATTTTCTTTGGTCACTCACCGCTTTTCGAGCATCCATTAGTAGCGGGCTCATGGTAAGGAATAAGCAAGCTAAAATTAGATCGTAAAAGTGGGGGGTGGAAACAAAGGAAATAACGGTAGCGGCTAACAATTTAGCCTTTCTTAGAAAAGTGCGACTGAAAGGCCAGCCCAATTAACTAGGAAATACACTAATATTGGAAAATATAGCCAAAATATAGCCCAGAAACAGCATACCAGAACCGCAAACCTAGCGCGAATTTCAAAGTGTAAATCTCCAAACAAGCGGAATCAACGCCGTTTTGGAGCCGAAATGTTAACTAAAACAGGACAACAATTGACGGTCTAGGACAAACCCTAGGCGTTGGTTACGACAAAGGTAAAATAATTAAGCTAGGTGCAGTGGTTATGGAGATATTTGCATTTTTAGCGGCCGGCTGCGGATAGCGCCATTTTCGAGTCTCCGCTAAATTCACGTTCTGCTTTGGAAACAGATACAGAAAAAAGAAAGAAATACTACAAAATCAGCTAGGCGTAATAAGTTCCGAATATGGAGTAGTAACTGGGAAGGCCTAAGCTAACGTGTAATTCGCTGCAGTAGCGAAGTATGATGCAGTGGGCCGAAAAGCATACTTTCTCAGTAAACGTAGTAAAAGTTGGTAAAACAGACGGAAAGGTTTTAGAGAAATACTAGGTAGGCTGTAAGAATTATTATATGGGTAGTACAGCACATGATATGGTGTAGCTAGCTCACAGCCAGAATGCGACCATGTGCGATTTTCAGAGTATATTGGGCCGCGGAATCCACTATGAATGTGGAATTCAACGATTTTAATGCTCCGATGTGAATGCGAAAATTATACCAAAGCCGCATGAGCTGAGTCCATATGTATAAGACAAGGGAACATAAAACTCATTTGCGCCGTCTGGACTAGGATTATGCAGGCATTTCCTACAGAAAGATTACCAGTTTCGACTCTTTGAGGCTATTTTATCCGTCGTTATGGTTGAATCACTGACACTAATGAGCCAAGCTGGTCTTCCAGTGATAATAAAAAACTGATGTGAGAAAATTCACAAAATGTGTCCCGGTGAGAAGCACCTTGGGTTCCGCTTTGGTTAGACACGAATACCACTTCTTTTGGGGGTTGCGCCATCTCAAGCATGACTGATTAGTGGGCCACAGGTGCTAAAGCACACGACTGTGCATTAAGTTGCTAGTTTAGAGCTCTATTTCTCTTAGCTGAGAGTCGGATGCAAGTGCCTGTGGTGTTGGACCAGAATAACGCAATCGTTCCCTGGAAAAACATCATCAGTTTCAGCACTTTGAGGTTATGTTATATATCTTAATGAATGTGCCACCAATGCTAATGAGCTAGAGATGTCCTCTATTGATAATAGAGAGATAGGTGTCCAAAAAATTAGCGGAATGCATTCAGGTGGGAAATACAACAAATGCCGCTTTGGTTAGGCATGATCACCTCATCTAATAGAGGTTGCATTTTCTCATTTGTGACGGATTATTGGGCCTCATGTGTTAAAGCACAACATTTCTGCATCGCGTTGCTATTTTGAGCTCTAACTCTCTTGGTTGGGAGTCCGATGCAAGTGCAAGTGATATTCACCAGTGTACGGTAATAGAAAACCGGGAGATCACAACAGCTATTAACTTGGAGGTTTCCTGGTGGGAAGCTTCTACATTGTCAGGCAAAATGAATGAACAATAATAAAGAACAATAATAATAGTGTGAAAGGTATGTATTGAAACGGACGCACCAAAACTTAAACGAACGAAACCATGCCGGAGCGAACTCATAGCATGGGACGACAGGCTTTTTGCGAAACTGCGGAAGCACAACGACCTGTAAACCGTAAGGCACGCAAACTAGTTCAACCGAAAGAACCACATCACAAGAAATCAAGCGGAATAAGCCTTTTTCAAATGATTAATGACGCAAGCGGCGAGAAGCAGCTTCAAGTTATTCAAAAGACGAGTACCCGTCCAAGGCTTCAGAAACCACAATTGAGCAGGACAGGACAAGATCCAGTGACGAAATACGCTTCCGCTCAACTAGCTGCCCATTTATATAAATAAATAAATAAATAAATCTTTTATTCTAAACAAGGTGAGGCACGCCTTTACAGGCATGATAATTTTGACATAACGATGCATGATCAAGAATGTGCAAAAATCCGATATGTTTGCCATAGCAGTTTGTGTTTTTGTAGGGGGTATGTATGTATGTCATTGTGTGTGTATGTGTATGTAGCTGTGTATTTTGTGCTTGTAGTTGTGCTGCTCCAATCTTCAATGTTTGATATCGTCATCAGTATGCGAGTGGGAGATCGGTGTCCGTGGGTTGGATAGAATTATCCGGATATCAACGGTGCGGTGACTTTATTTTGTGGCGATTCACGACCGCCACGTCACAGTGTTGTTAAGCAGACATTTGTGGCTTTTTATAAGGAGAACGCTTGCCAGGCGAAACCCACCACGTCCTGGAACACTGCCGCCGAACTATTTGCTGGAACGGGTTTAACCCGAACCACCTAGTTGATACCATGAGGAGGTTGTTCGGCTAGCCAGCCAATAATCAAGAAGCGCTCCCAACCCTTCGATGTGCAAGTAGCTTCCTGCGTTAACAATAGAAAAATAAAGACGTAAGTGCAAAATAGTCACTGGATTTTCATGTACTTGAATGCATCGCTTGCATGGGGTTAGAGGCCGAAATGAGCATTCGCAAGAACACGGGGCACAGGGCCAAACTTATTTATTACACTACTCGTTTGTAGTTCGCTAACGTTTGCGAGAAAATGCACAAAAAGCGGGTTTCCAACGATGCTTTTTCCACGTGGCAGCGATGGGATATTGTAATCATTTGACTCCAGGTCGGAAAACGCTCGGTATGATGAGAGCGATTCTATAACTGCTAGAAACGCGTTAATATTCCGTGGCCCGTAGGGAATATACGTTTACAACAATGTTGAAGGTAAAAATAGTCACCGCTTCCCGCTTGTAAAATGAGGTCGCAGTTAAAACTTCTTTCCATCCACCTCTATGTCTCCATGGGCGTGCCTCGCATAGTCGAGAATAAACTACTTATTTATTTATTTATTTATTCACATATCAAGCAGTTAAACCCAGCCTAACCATCCGCCATGATGACTGCTTCTAACCTAGCGTCTCAGTAATTTAATATCCTTTGAAATCCACTTGAGCAACAAGAGACAACTTAAACTTTCATCCTTTTATATAACCACATAAACGTATTTACCATGTAACCTCCCATTTATGCATTTCTACTTGCACTATCAACGTTTCCAATTTTAGCCTAGGGTACCATCCCACTCAGCACCAGTGTCCGATGAACGCCAGTTGGATGTCCGATGGGCGCTCGTTGGGTGACCGATCGAGCGCCCGATGGGCGCCTGAGTGGCACAAAATTGTGTCACTCATCGGGCGCTCGCGGAGAAAAATAACGTGGTGCCTCCCTTCGCACGCTCACATTTCCACGATTTCCAGCCGTAACGGGTAAAGCTTAGCCGCATTATCCTCCCTTCCCATACCACTGCAAGCACGTTAATGCGGTCGCACACATTGCATGCCATGAACACAACACAGTTTGCGAAAACATAGTGTAATATGGATCTCATAATTTACAAAGCGGAATTTTCCAGTGATAACCGTTCTGTTTCCTTTCGTATCCACGATTCACGCTCTTTAATTCGTTGTATCCAGCGTCGTAACTTATCAACAATATCAGGCTCTGTGCATCCTGGTATGTTTTTTCTCATAATGGAATCTGGTAAAGATATTAATGTTGTTTAAAAGGTAACTTACCAAGGACCGCTCTCGCGAATGGTGTGTTCGCTATTTTATACTTCTCATGCACACCACGCCAGTTCACATGTCTGACCAAGTTGTTAGTCATGCAAGTAAGCATGACGTTCCGCACACTTTCTGAGGTTGTCCGGCCGCTTACGTTGGATAAATGGTGCACCTACGAATAAGTGAAATTCCATGAGACTTACCATGCTGTTCATGAACTCAGCGTTCTCCAGTGCATTATTTAAAAATGACAGTTGCGCTATTGTATCCATTGTTAATGGAAATGGACACGCGTTGCTGGAACATGGCGCCTGAAGTGCATGCAGCGCGTTCAAGGACAACTCAACAGCAGTCATTCGTTCGTGCAGTTTCATCACTTCGCGATTTACGTTCCGCAATGTGGCTGCAAGTAAATGTTTCGGAGACACTGTGAACCAACCATTCATTTCCAACAGCAGTGCGCTGTCACAGGATTTCCGCAAAAAGGTAAAGGCTGAGCAACGTCTTGGTGAATCGGACTACGAGTGTAAAAACAAATGCATTGTTTACCTGGATGTATGGGGATAGGCTGATAGGTATCCATTTTCTTTATCAGAACCGTCGTTTAATTCCTCCTCCAAATACCGCTTCGGTGGTGGAGGTGATAAATCCAAGTTCACGACTTCAACAGTACCCCGCGTTGCGGTTGGCGGGGACTCACAGTCGTGAAAGGTTTTTACAGTGCTGCGATAATATACTATCTATCTACAACTACATTTTTCGCTTCCCCCATCGCAGCTTTGGAATCGTTGCGTCGCTAGATGGTACTTCGGCTGATGTTAGCAAGCTCTGTTCCAAATTTTTAGCCTCAAGGTAATTATCTAAAAATGCGTATAAATAAATCGTTCTGTAACCTCACCTGTACAACTGTGTATTCGTACTTTGTACGTCACAGCGGACGCAGGTGGTGGCAGACGGTGCATCAGGAAATCCTGTAACTGTTTTGATGATAACCGTCCCCACAGAACTTCCTCACTATTAATCATCCAGGATGACAGAACCACCGCAACGGAAGAATCTTGAAATTCGACCACGCGATACATCTGAAAAAAGGGGTCAGAGCACAGCATTTCTACGAGCGTATTAGAAGAGGTGAATGTGTTCGGTGGGGAAACTTTTATTTGCGATACCAGGTGCAGCAGCATATGCAGTGTATTCCATGGTGCTTAAAACGTAACAGTAACCGCGCAACGCCGTTACTGTTGTACAACGATTTTGCGCACCCAGGTTAAAAGTATAAAACGGACTGTTAACTGAAGCAAATAAATGATAAATGAAGACAGCTTACCTACGTCGGATGTTTCTTCATATCCTTGTGCCGCCAGCTGTGAACGATTGGGTAAAATACAATGTACTCATCGCACGGCAATCTCAGACATTTGCAGCCGATTGCACTCAATGGAATCCATGTCGGTGGAGCTAAGGAACCGCAACATTTAAAAGTACGTAGGTCCGTGGACGACGAACTTTTTACGAACAGCGACGTGGTCTGTGTGAAATGCTGCACACATAACTCATTAGCACGCTGGCCCAGCACTACCGAAGGTCTTCCACGTGCGATGACAGCATTATTTGGATGCGCATTCGTAATCAGCGCACCGAAATGTAAGAAACTGGTTTGTTGCCGACCACGACGCATAATTACGGTGGATCCAGTGTCGTCCAAACAACCGCCATCATCTGTGACATTGGTT